CCTGTCATTTCGTGTTTATATTCTATTTTCGTTCAACGCTTGGTTTGAAAATAACCTAAAGTGTAGTACTTTTAGAAGAATAATTGTGGGCCTAACACGTTTGCGAATAATGAACTCAGTGATTGTGAATATATGTGTACACCAGAAATATTTAGCAGAAACTGCAAAACATGTTTCGTTAAACCTGTTTTCTGAAAAATCAAGAAAGAAGTATGAACGAGCATACGAACAGTTTTCTTCTTGGTGCGTAAGTGAGAAAGTTACAAAATTACTTTTTTATTCTGTTTATACTGATTATTACTGTTTATACGTATACTCTTGAAAGTAAGTAACACTAAATGATTTGTGTACTTCATACGACTACAATCACCTGGTGCAGTGTTTCCCATTCCGTTCAACGCTTGGGTTTAACCTAAACTAAAAACGTATTGTATAGTGTTTGAAAGACTATTTATTTTATGATTTATAGTGGCTGTAGGAGAAATATAATGTGTAACACAAGCGCAAATGGCCTTTGCTGCACTCGAAAAAAACATTCCGCATTTATCCCGTGTGCAACAAAGCGTCACTTCGCCCACTAGTTACACAAATAACTATTTACCATACGGTAATAACATTGACTTTTTATCTACACTGTGTAGATATTTATGTCAATTCATTATAGCTCTTGAGCTTATTTCATAATAAAATAGGCTACGCAGGCCTACGTAGTTTAATTTCCAATGGGTTACACCAGGAAAACCCAACCCCACATACTACCACTATATAGCATAAAAGTGCACTTTTTTGTTTGTATCCGAATTTGTCCAAAAACCCAAAATGGGTTATTTTTGGGGCAGTTCAAAAATGTTAAATGTAAAGCCCCATCCAGTGAAACTTCATTTTAAAGTACATTAGTTTAAAAGAATATCGATGAAAACTAGAGGTCTATCTCAACCCATTACATAATCGCAGCCATTTATATTTTTCAGCGTCCTGAGAAACCCCATGTAAAAGTATACATTAATATCCCCTATTAACATTTTTATGTGTTGTACCAGGAAAACTAAAATTAGTATTACCGTAAAAAGAAACTAAAAATAAATTTTTGGTCGGTATAACAATTTTACCCGGGGGGGCCAAAATTGGGTATTTTGGGGGCAGCTACAAATTTTAAATATAAAGCCCAATCAAGGGGAAGGGACAGTAAATTTTGAAGTCCATTGGTTTGAAAGAATATCGGTGAAAGCTAGAGGTGTCAACCCAATACAAAATGGTGGCAGTTTTTATTTCATCAATCTCAGAGATCCCACTTAAATACATACATTAACATCCCTATTAACATTTTATCGAATTGTACCAGGAAAGATTATCACTCCATAAGAAAAACTGTGTAGGTACTTTTTGGGTGGGTATCACAATTTCCCCTGGGAACCCAAAATTAAGCATACTGGGACAGCTCAAAAATGTTAAATGTAATCCCTGATAACTAAAAACTGCCGCCATTTAGTACTGGGTTGAGATAGGGACCTCTGGTTTTCACTGATATTATTTTTAACTAATGGCCTTCAAAATTATGTGTCACTTGATGGGGCTTTGCGTTCAAAATTTTGAGCTGTCCTCAAAATAACCCATTTTGACGAAATTGGGATACTAAAGAAAGTGCACTTTTATGCGATATAGAGGTGTGCAGAGTTTGGTTTCCCATTAAAAGTTAATAGGGGGTCTCCAGTCTTTTTACTAACCCTGTATAGTTTTTATTTTTTTATTTTTTTTATTTGACGTATTGCCAAGTTGCACGCCTTGACAATGTTGCGCTTGCAACGCAACTAGTCAGTGCCTTGTTGATGGAAACTTGTTATATAGATGGAGGTAACTTTGTCAATATAACATTGTCGAATGGTGAACTCTCCCACCCCAAATTGTGAAGTCCCAAATGGTGAACTCTATTCTGTGTTTGTTTTTCATATGATTGTCAATGGGGCGGCGGATTATTATAGTAGAATAAAAAAGGTTGGTTTTTTTAGTTTGACCTTTAGTGTGTTTAGAAAATAGCGGAAATTTGCCAAAGCACTTTGTTAGGGACTAAGTTTTTATTCTAAAATTGGCTAAAAGTTAAAATAAAGGAACTGAATAATCTATCTATTCTCCGGTAGTGTAGGTGTATCTATAGTCAAATGTTTAACCAAGGGAAGTTATAAAAATGTGTGCATAACTACCATTATTGCATACACTTCAAGGTTCTGCTGAAATTCCTCTTCCAGCTGCAAAAAATCTAACCTTCCACATTATTCGTCACCTTAATATTCGGTTAGGCCTATTAGGTTTAATTGGCACGGAAAACTGGTTTGTTGTCCAAATAACTGGCGTTTGTCATAAATATTAAGTACAATACCTGTGTTGGATATTATAACTGGTCTAACAACCGTCTTTACGTACTTCAACTTCTTTGTTGAAAAGTTAATTTTTTCGATGTACTACTAAAATGGCTTAACAAAGCTGTTGAGCTTAGTCACAAATCTTACCAAAATCTAACATAACATAATTGTTCACGTATATCTGGAAGCATATTCAATTATTACAATCGACCTTACAATGTTCATTTGGGTAAGGTATTGTAATTAAATCAAACATGGCTAGTTTGTACAAAACGGCTTAATTTGTAATTAAACATCCTAAAATCGTACATAACACAAATTATGGGTTGGAAGATTATCCATTCCCAAGTACATTTAGACACGTCTTAGTTCATCCAACATCCAAACAATGCTCAAATACATCAAGAAACTCCCTATAAACATATCATCCAAAATCTTACATAACAAAATTTGTCGAGTATCACTGAAAGCCCATTCAACGCCATTTGGCCTTACAACGTGTATATTTAGACATTTCACTTGTAGCGCCGCCATTATCTGTCAGTTAGTCGCTATATTGCTGTTAGGCGCACATCAATTGCGGCCTTTAAACTCTGACCTGGCCACATGCGCTGTGCGTGTACTGGTGCGCAGTATACGTTCACGCTCATGCGCACTGCGCAGGTTCTATGAAGATCGCAAGCTTGAAATTAAAAAATAAAACGGAATTAAATAAATTTGAAATGTCTATTTAAAATAAATCAATGTCAAGGGCCAAAGGTAGTGGTAAATATTGACGCTGTAAGAATAGTGTCTCTTGTAAAATTTAAAAAAAAAACTGTGATTTGTAAAAATTTATTGGGGAAAACCGAGTCAACAGTACGAAATGAAATGTAAAATACTGTAACATTATTATTGAGTGATGCAAATATGTTTGCATTCAACCATATCTCATAATATTATTGTATTAATTCATAAATAAATACAACTAAGACATCTTCACCTTTCACGTATAATTGTGTCATTGAAATAAAACCCTGGTATTCATGGAATTCCATTCTTGTAATTTTAGTGGAAATAGAGAGAGTATTAATTATCACGTCTAAAATTGGAAAAATCACACAATCGATACTTTGTTAGTCTTTTTATTCGATTACTCCGGATTCGCGTTTCACAAGAGTTGCTATGGCCTTTTAATAAAGTTTGATATGAGACATTGCTCATAGATACTTCACTGGATTCGTCCTTCTATCGTTGTGAATTATTTGAAGACAATTATATGCTATGTTTATGTTTCTGCCAGTTGTGGTGTAGCTTTATGTATAGTGCATTTCAATGTTTACTCTTAGTTATATCACTAATCTTGAAACTGTCCTAACTGTTTCAAACAATTTATTTGCTATGTCGAACTATTAATTTTCGTTTGAAAACGTAATCGATTAGTAAAGCACACGTTGTAAAATTTACGCTCAAGTAGATAAGATTAGATTTCACAACGCTGACACACCAGTTGCGTATTTTAACCTAAACATGTGAAGGATGAGTGTAGAATAAAGGTAGAATGAAGTAAAGCTGCCTTTTGTAGCTTTTTTACTGACTAAGATCAGCTGGTTCACCCCAGGATCATTTTAAAAGTCTGATCAAGGAGTGCTGGGTCCAGTTTCAAAGCATAAGATAAAATAATCATTGGCATCCAATTCGAAGTTCCTACATCACGAAAGATTTACAAGAATTCAAAAATATTTTTCAATAGCGTGCAATTACGTACTGTGTCCAAATACAGACAATAAACAAAAAGCTTATTGTTTGTTTGAATTTTGAAAAAATATATCTTTTCTCGTTTTGTTAGTTAATTTTAAATAAAAATTGGAAAATATACCAAATAGGTTTTTATATGATGTTAAGATTTGGTATATTAGTTTTATGTTAATTTATCTCATTCCTGTTACTGAGGGGATGTCTTTGCGTATTATTCACTGTCGATTGATTACTCACTCTGCTTATTGATGTATGATATTGGAATCGCTAAATATATATTCTTTCCCTCATAATAATAGTAAATGAGTGTCGCATAATGCTTATGGTCCTTTATGAAGGAAGTCCCGTTCTTAACCACCAATAGTTAACCACTAATAGTTTTACCCTATTGTCTAAAGTAAAGCATAGCAACTTATTGCAACACACAAATAAGAAACAGACGTGATGAATATGGTTTCCATAAGCTAAACAATTTTCAAAATTTATTTAAAATACGGGATCCCAACATTCGATTACATTTTTGCAAAGTAAACACTTTTGCACCAACAACGCGTTTCTCTTCCTATCAGAAAGCTGTCTTCATTTCCCCATGAATGAGTTTCCAAAAGTTCAAGACCTTTATCAAAATTTTAAAACAAGAATACAGATCCATCCGTACTACTTTTACAGGTAAACACGATAGCATCAACGATGAATCATTTCCTCCTATCACAAATCCACTCTATTTCTCTCAAGATGGATTTAGTTTTTCCAAAACATTTAAAAGGGTCATCCAAAATAAATGCAACAATCCGTCTTTGGCAAGTAAACACGGTAGCACAGCATCAACAATAACTCTCCTCCCGACCCCCCCCCCCACCCCCCCAGCGGGGAGAAACACGCTTCTTCCAAGTTGTGGCAGTCCACGGTTGCGCGCCTAACTGAGCGGATGTACCCCAGCCCTTCCGTACTTCTCGTAGATGATAAGCTACAAGAACATCCCCACGAGGTCAGAGATGCAGAGCGACGATAGTCTGGACCTCATTGACGAGAGTAAGCTGAAGATTGTGTTTACACACACAGAACCCGACCCCACGGTGAGTAAGGAGTGTCTCAGGGGCGTGTGTTGGGACCGCTAATTTTTTCTTTTTTAGTAAATGATTTTTTATTGTTAATTGTATTATTTTGGAATCGAGCAAGGAGGGGGAATAGTTTAGCAAACATGTCACACAACCTTTCGACTGTCTAATTATTAAACTCGTCAGACTAAACTACACGCCCTAACGAAATTTTATGACAAAACAATATTCAGAGGATGAGTTTGTAAATTGTTTATTTACTCGACTCTGTACTATTGTTTGGACATCAGTTTCCCAGGAATGCGGCTATTTCTATCTTAGAATAACGAATGGAATACAATACTTAATACCTTTCGTTTTGTGTTCTTTATATCACATAACATGTGTTGTTCCTGCGCTTAAATATCCACGGTTGGTGTAAGAATGCCAACAACCATACTTAATTTGTTGCAGACGTTTTAATTAAGGATTCACAAACTATTCATACTCCGTGGAGGAAACTTTTTGTGTAGTTAACAATACGTCAAAAAGTACCTTTATCATGCATCAGATGTGTTTATAATAGTGTGAATTTAATCCTAATCAACGATTCGTTTACCAAACATTTTTTTTCCACGTCAAAACCTTACCAATCAACTTTACGCCCCATGTAGGTATCAATCAATCAAGAGCTTCTACCAATCCAAAAACCTCTCATTTAAACATTCAAACAATCAAGTAACAAACAAACCATTTAGTTTACCAATTGCCATAATTTCTGTGATTTAAATTCCAGCTAAATAAATTTATTACATGAGAATATGTACTTTGCACGACTTAAATTTTCTAAAAGGGGTAGAGAGAATTGGTTAGTCAGGTGGTACGACACAACCTACGCCAACATGTCTAGTCGACCACGTGTAGGGGATGTGCAGGGGGTGCGGGGGGTGAGGGGAGATTTGCTAACCCCCCACGTGTTCACAAAGGGATAAATCCTTGGGGAACCTATTATGCCTTCCCTTGCAAAAAGGGGAGGGTCATGGCGAAATGGGTCCAATGGTCTATTGATTGCATTCATTCACTATTCTTTGTTGATTGCGAAATTTCTAAATCGTCCTTTGTGTCACACTTGACTCAGTGTTGCTTTGTTTATATTAATTACGTATTTTACAAATAAAAAATACTGCAAAGAGTTCGTATTTTAAAATTGCATTATAAGTTGGCTGGTTGAAGAGGGATTTTTTAAATTTAGAAACAAAAATAATTAATTGTTTTAACTAAATTTGTTAAAGCATTTATCGGAGTTTTTCCCAGGAAAACAATTGAGATCTTAATTAATTCTGTAAACTAATGTTCCTACTTTTTAGACATGGCATATGCCCATTCTAATACTTCATGAAACCTACAATGCCTACTGAGTTACTCAATTTCCATTTACCAGTTGCCTAGCGGAATACCTTTACCTAAGGCATAGAATAACATGTATGTTTAATCTCTGCCTAAGGTAAACCGTCTATTTGCATATTTTACTTATTAGAGTTGCTTCACTCGTTGTCCAAAATAAAACTACTGTTCCAAAAAAAATATTTGACGTATTTTTGAGAGCCAAAGGAACGAAAACGCCAAAATATTAAAAAGATTTACAAAATCGAAAGATCGTACACTGTGTCATAAACGTCTCTTACTCAACCAGAGTAGTTCTGTAATGGACAAAATAAAATTGATTTACAGTTTTCGGAGTTTTGCCTGTTCGGAATTGCGCTCCTCTGGAGCCATTAACTTCCCAACCCTTCTATTTGCCCAGCAATTAGCACGCTCTCTGTGACGTCACTGTTATCACTAAACTGTTTGATTCTGATAACAGGCCATTAACGCGTACAAGCATCATCTTGTTTTAATTGCGCTCGTTTACACATAGACTATATTGCAGTCTGTCCACAAACTTCAAATTGAAATTAATAATTTTTGTACTTGGTTAAATTGCTTATAAAAAATCCTAGCTTTACGTTAATTTATAATGAGTGTTATTTGCATTTCAGCAATATTATTCTGTACTTCTGTAATATAAGCATATAATAGAAAACACCAAAAGGTGCCCCGTGAGTTTTATTTTTTTTATCGCCATCTAGAGCTATTTGTTGTGTTTCGTCTAAAGCGCGTTCAAAGGAATGCTGAACGTATTGACTTTATACAAAGTTTATTTAAATAAATTCATTTCCCCGAACCCTAAGTTATGAATTTTATGTTAGGTGGGTTATTTATTGTTTCTTACTAGTTCATATTCCTAACAATCGTACACTGCATGTATTCGTTAACCATAGCACACTAACCACAATGTTTCTATATGTATTTTTATAACACTTCATTTTGAACTAGATATTTGGATAAATTATTTAAAACTGATAATTATTATAGCTGATTATTCATATAAATAAGACCAAATGTACCGTGTCCATCTAACACAGTATAAAGAACAGGGATAAAAAATATGAATACAATATTCTAATGTCAATAATATTTTTCTATCCTTTATAATTGCTTAAATATATTTAGCAAAATGTTACACTGTTTTGAACTCACAAATAATTTTGTTAATACAAAGTGATCCAACTTGGTTCAAGAATTTAGGAGCATTCTTTGTCTTCTTATTCCAGTATAGCGCTCTGGCAGTCCTTGCATTTCTTATCCAGATATATAAACGTGTGTACTAGATCAACTTGTTGTATCCATTGATATTTGTATACAGTATATCGATGGTTGTATCCTAAAACACACAGTATGAGCTCATTTATAATCATTTACAATGCTCTGCATGATTATTGATTAATTCATCCAATGTGGTTAACACACGTCTGTGGTAGACAATTCCTAGAACTGCATACCTCTCTGCACCCGCTACCATCAGGTGTTTACTGTTTACAGCCTTGTATAATCGTCTTCCATTGTTTCGCTAGCGATTGTTGTGTATTTTACTACTCGGCTGTTAACGGTATATTTTAGAGCTTACATTGTTGCATTCAGACAGTTTTATACATTGTTGTATTTAGATGCGAAATTTACAAAGGAGAATCTTCATGCTTTCCCTCTCGTGGTTAACTACTTAGTTTTGCCAGCGTTGTATATTATGAAGTTCACCAGTTTCGTTTAGATTAGTTATTAAACCGCTACACTCCCTTACATAAACTCCTTATACTCGTACATCCGATAGTTGAAGTTCATTTTAAAATTGCCACATCAACGAATATTACAGTGGATAAATACACCTAATCGTTGGTTAAAAAGTCAAAGTCTAAAGTCTATATCCTTTATTTATTGGTTAAAGGGAAGGTGGGGTAAAAACTGTACATAACGGTTACTTTTTTGTCCTTGTATACCTCCAAACCAATTAAAATTGATTTTATTCTTGGTAAATTTATGTTAATCGTATTATTTTCATGTAACTGTTCAAGCAAAATGTTAGACGCTCTTCTTTGGCCAAGAAGCCACTATCTGTTTAGTGACAAATTTCCGTGGGTAATATAAAAGATGTTTTAAACGTAGACCGTGAAACAGACAATTTATTTCTTACTTTATATGCTTGGCATGTATATTTTATATATGAAACTAAATTTTAAAAGATTACGTTAAATTTAACCCACATACTCCTCTGTTCAACATTATTTCTCCAATATTTCTGAACTTACAGTGTTGCATCTACCCATGAGCAAAAGTACATAACCCCATTCTCGTTCTCCATACTAACCACTATGTGGAACAGATAGTTTCGCTCAGTTTTCCCGCGTTTTCGCGCGTCTCTGTATCAGTTTCCCTCCACCGTGTGTTTACATTGGTTATCACAGCTGTTATCAGTTGCCTAGATGCGATTGGTCTGGGTGATGCGACTCCTTCACTGGGCATATCGCGTAAGTAGAATTGACTATGAACATTGATTTTCAATACTGAAGTAGACATTCCATCTAAGGGTCAGCTGTAAATGTAGAGACATCGTGATCAAAGAGTACATGGCGAATAGGTTTCTCCTAGAGTGTGTCTTTATAAAAGAAGTTCTAGGTTACCATTTATTTCTGCATGGTTTGAATAGAAGGGATAAAACTGTTAACTGTAATACGATACATTAACATTTGTATAGCACACTCTTTTGGTAGTTCCATGAACTAATTTCCCTCTTGTTTACAAGCTGGATACAACTTGTTTCATGTGTAACATTCGGTAACACTATGAGCGTTGACTTTGGATACATCCCATCAACACGAGTCAGCTGAAGCTAGTTTTGTAATCAGAGAGTATGTAGGGAATATAGTAGGATAAGAAACCACAGAGTTTAAAACCCATTTTCCTCCTCAAGTATAGAATGATAAATGAAGTGGACATTGTACTAAATAACCTACAGTTTGCAATTATTTATCATTTTCAGCTTGGTATGATTCAGAATTTGTGTAGCAGGAAAAACAAAAGTAGTTTAAAGCAACACTATTTTCGGTGTCATTGAATTAGATTGTCTATAAAACCTTGGTGTAAGGATTGAATGTTATCGATGAATTTCTTCGCTTTGAAATTTGTAGGTAATTTCTAACTTAAAGGCTGATGGAGGAATGGTTACATGAAAATCAACCCCGTTTTGGCGTTTTGTGTTTAATCTAAAACGTTCAATTTCAGTTGAACAAATCGTTAAACCGAGGAATAGCGATCAACATAAATTTAGATAAAATGAATATCAAGCTTTCACATGTGAGTGAAATTAAATATCAGTAGTGACCACTTTCATCCTGTACATAAAATGACTAACATTGTATATACGTGCACGAAATATGTTTTACAGTGTACATACTGTACTATGGAAAATATTTCTTTGGAATATACTAATATTAGTATTGACTTGGGGATAGAATAAGATATTGTAGGCTATTTAGGGTATGTTTTGGCGTCACTCCACTACCCTTGAACTGGATCACTTTCGCCCTTTAACCGTGACGTCACAAGTACTGGTCACGTGATTGATCTATTTAAACACCGGCCTCAGCCCCACGTGCTGTCACGGT